CCCATGAGCTTCTGCAAATCCATCAAACTGCTTATTTGCTCTTCATGTCTTAAACCGAGCCCTGGGCTACCACCCAGGGCTTCCTACTACCAAACACAACAGAGAGATTCATATGCCAAAAGGAAAAGCCCTCTCAGTCCTAGATGCTGTAGGTATGCATTCACAGGGGACCTGTTATCTTACCACATTTTCAAGAATATTGAGTAGGAATAGGCAGACTGTGTTTAAAAATGTTTGGTCTGCATGCATTGCAAATACATATAAACTGAGTTGGCAAAATGGCATGAACATAACAGATCTTTACCTTTTTTCAGTGAATTGTCTCACCTTTTTCTGGAACATGCCATATAAACTATTCAACAATCATTGCTAGCAGCAAGAAGTACTTAAATTGGATATATACTGGTGCAGCAGTATCGTGCTTTAGCAACATCTATAGTACAGTACAATTTATAATCCTACATCAGCTTGCAATTAATTTTGCTTTTATTTAACACTACAGAGTTTATCTTTGCCTAATTAATTGTTAGGGGAGATAATGAAATAGTAGACAGTAGACACTGACAGTTTGTTATCTTTAATGATCTAAAGTAGGCGGCAAGAAATAAACACTAAATTAAAGCAAATCTAACAATAAGTTTGTTTTGTTCACAAGTTTCAGCAGGGGGGCATTATGTTAATAAAATGCTGGTGGTGTGCTATCCTTGTTGGTCAGTGTACATGTCTTTTTTAATGACATGCAGGCTATAGAGCTATAATAACACCTCTCCTGGCGAAGGGGAATTTTATGTGACACGGAAAATATGCTTGTTATCAATTCTGCAAACACGGCATCTGCCAGATTGCCAAGCTCCATCTCAGGGATGAAAATCAATTAATATTCTAATTCATCTGTCATTACTGGTCACAGTGCATTATTCATCCCAATTTAAGTCCTACATGACTGTTTTTGAAAGACACATGTGGTCTATTTTTTGCTTCATTTTATATCCTCAAAGTACATACACTGAGACCATATTTTATATATCTTACAAAATATACAATAATGTAAATATATTTAATGAATTAAATATTGTAAATATATTTAACGTATCTTAGAAAAATAAGTAAAAAAAACATTCAAATAGTGAAATAGAACCTAATGATCTAGTCCGAGTTTTAAATGCCTGGAGTCTAACATGTAGTTTCTTCAATGAATTGAATAAATAAATCACTTAAGAAAACACTGACTTTCAAAGCAGAGCAACCAATCATAGTTAATTGCATTTCAGTTTACTGTAGTCAGTCAGAGAAATATTAATTTTGATTGGCTGCTATGGAGTTCTGATTTGTGAATGTTACGCTTTGCATTTTTGCACAAACCTATAAGCTTTACTCTCCCTCTCAGTTTTATAAACAGACAATAACATCTAACTATTTTTACACCTGGAGGGATACTCCTGGCTCTATATGGGTTTATTGCTTCAAAAAATAATTTGCACACCAGTTTGTCTACCAGAAGCAACATATTGTCAGTAGCCATTAGCACTGATAGTCAATCACAGACAAATGAGATAAGGGGTTTGTAGGTAAATAATAGGAATCATTGGGCAGACATATTGAAATAGGGATGAGTGAATGGGCCTGGATTTGCAAAAACAGAGTGAAGTCTACAGAACTTTGCAACTGTACCAAACCCAATTGAAGTCTATGGGAAGCAAATATTTTTTTTGTTGTCATTTCCAAAGCTAATATGCAAGCTATTGTTGGAAAAAAGACATGGGGAGCTGGGCACTGCTATGAGGGATGTATACCAAAGAATTTTTATTTTTTTTGCTAATTGTGGCAATACATTTTTAGTTATGATGGCATACGCCATTGCCAGCAAAAGGGTTAAATAACATGCTGGGAGTGCCTTAAAGCTTCATGTGCTGTTATTGTGTGTGCTATTTATCTGTTTGCTATTTAACCCCTTAGCTGCCACAGATGGTCCATGGCAACACCAACATGTAAGAAGACTCCCAGCTGATTTGGTTTACCTTTTAAACTGAACTGTCAGCTTTCCTATAGAAGTGACATGCCCTACCAAAATTCCTTAGTAAAATTTCTCTATGCAAAGTGAATTTTCACTTAGCTTAGTGAATGAAGGGAAATTGTGCTGACTTGAATCATGTGCTAGCAAAAAACGTATTTTTTACATTTTCCTTGCATGTGATTGGGTATTCTTTGCAAAGTAAATTTTGACAAATTTTACATATCTGTTAAATTGAACATGTGCTACTCCTTTAGTAGATCAGGATCAGGCATGTGCAAGAAAGGGATATCCTCTAGGGATGCACCGATATATAGGCCGAAAATTCCACTTTTGTCAAAATGCCGAAAGTGCCATATTCCTGCCGATATAGCGGTGCATCCGTTCTTTCTCTCCTCCCCGCTGGGCGCTGCTCTGTGTCCCACTGGGAGGAGAGAAACTGCCACAGGCAGCCGAGCGCTGCGGGAGGAGAGCGCTGTGAGTGGCTGGCATCTCTCCTCCCACACTGCTCAGCCTCCTATGACAGATCGGCAGAGCGGTGTGTGGGCGGATACAGCCAGCGCTGTCACAGCAGGCTGAGCTGCGCTCACTCACTGACACAGGAAGGAGAGTGAGGTACAAACACTCAGCGATCAGTGATTGCTGAGTGTTTGTAAATAATAGAGGACATAGTATGTTTATTATATCCTCAATTATACATGAATAGGAAGTGATCTACATCACCTCCTGTTCAGTCATGATTGTGGTTATAGTAAACACAAGAAAAAGTTTATAAAAAATAAAGTATAAAAAATTGAAAAAGTTAAAATAAAAAACTTTTTCGGTTTTGGTTTCGGCCTGACATTTTTTTTCATTTCGGTTTTGAAATGTTCATTTTGGTGCACCTCTAATATCTTCTCATGCTCTTCCGGATTACCCTACTACAGGACCAGCTGTGACTCTTCCTACTGCCTTGAACAAAGTCTGGCTGTAGTCCTAAACAGATTAATCCCTACTGTCCAATCACAGAGCTCTCTCAACATAGAGGAAAATCACCGTAAGCACAGTCAAGCTCTCATATGTAATTTTAGTGCTTCCAATGCCCACTGACTGTCTGATTGTTAAGGCATGTATGGATCACCTTAAACCCGACAGTATGTGTGTCTCCTCCAGGCATGCTTACCTTTACGTAGTAAAATAATATTTTGTAGAAATGATTACATTTAATATATCATAAAGAGTAAAAAAAATGTTTTTATTTGATTTTATACTGTATTGTTTTTCTGTAAAATTGTTTATTTTTTTGTATCTGTAAAATATATTTTCTTTGAGTACTGGTCAATTTCATCTTTAATATCAAGCAAACAAACTTTCAAATGCTCTGTGTCTCAGGTGAACTGTCACTAAGATACTTTAGATAAAGTGACTTCAGTTTTTCTGGTCTATTTCTCAGCTTCAGCAAAGATAGATTACTTTCACCATCACACATGTACAAAACAACATTTGTCTTTCTAGTACTTAAACAAATCATTTGAAGATCCACATAGAAGCACAATCTATCTTTGTAGGTCTAGATGAATTCCTGCTGCTCTTCGTGATTAAGTAAATAGAATCATGAACAAAAGTGCATGATGAAACCCCTAGATTAGGGTGTATACACTAAAGTCAGTATACTGTAAGTGGCCGAACATAACAGCTTATTATACCTTTAAGCCTCTTAAAGCACATCATTGAGACATTTGGCATTAAAAATGGACATAATTTCACTAATAATGCCATTCGGGTCTGTGAGCAGAGGTGTCGTAATACTTTTCATATGACACCTCTGCTCACAGACCAGAATGGACTTTGGGAGCTCCCAAATAGCATTTGGGAGCTCCCGAATGCTATGTGTTATACTATTTGTCGACAATGTCAAACGGGCAGAGCGAGCCCCGTGCGGAGTGAGCCACGTCACGGCTCACTCCGCCCATCTGTTTACATTCAGGAAGGAAATGCCATTTTGCAGCGAGTTTTCATGCGGCGGGACTTTTTTTATTTTGGCGTCGTGCTAGATTACATTGATGGAGCCATTTTTTTTTTTTAAATGGCTCCATCCCCTTTCCTGCCCTACCGGGCCTGTGCTCGGATCAAGCGTCTGGTAGGAATGTTAGGGGGACCCCACTTTTTCTTCTGCAGACTGTAAAAAAAAGTATTTTTTTTCTCTAATGTCACTTTGCTGCAATGAAAATTTGTCCACAAACGAAAATTCATACTGACTACCGCTAACAAAATTCGGAAGTGGAATTTCGGATTCGTTTGCATTCGTCATTTCTGTAATTCGGAAATTCAGATACATCCAATTCTACAAATTCCCGAAAATTTGTCAGAATGACGGATCTTTCCGAAATGAATCACACATTTCTAGAGGATAGATTCACAGACCGGTGTCAGTGATGGTGGTGTTCAAAGGTAAGTGTAGAGGGGGCGAGGGACACAAAAAGGTACTGGGTGATCTTTACCTTAAAGCAGAAAATGTATTAATGTAAAAAAATGTGCAGTCTATGGTACTACTTTAACAATATATGTGTTTTTAAATATGGAGATAAGAAGTGGAAGTAGCCATATGCATAAGATTGTTCATGAACTGTGCACAGAGAAAAAAAAATATTTGTAATATATACATTTCTCTATGCAAGCTATGAGTTAACAAGCATTACTTCTGATTTCAGTTTTCAAAGTTTAAGTCTGATAGAAAACAATAGGGCTTAAAAGTTGTGCAGGGCACATTCCTTACTTCAAAATGCAGATCAACAGAACTCATTAGCTGCTTACCCTCATAAGACATTAGTTAAACTGGCAATTCTCACAAAGCTGTTAAACATAAGAGAGTGTAAGGTAATCCAACTATTCCTAACTATCCTGAAAGTGCTTTTCGGAACATGTTATTGTAATAAAGAAAAATGACTCTGATAGTGCTATAATATTATCATTGGAAATAAAAAGAAGTTGCACATATTTTTCTACTTACATGGAATTTTATTCAGCTCGTTCATGAACTTCTCTTTGATCTTTGAAAAGTGATTATCTTTCCCATCGCTTGGAGCCCCAGCCTCTGTGGTGTTCTCCCGTAAAGCAGGTGCGACAATTGTTGTTTGGGGTGCTGTCATCGCCTCATGACGGCTCTCGCTTGACTTCATTTTGGCCCTAAGGAACTGTTGCAGATGAAAGATAACAGGGGAAATATTATTTCAAAAGATCCAAGATGAATTCTATCTCACAGCTAGTGAAAGTCATCAAAAGCTGCATCTGCAGTGCACCTGCTCACTAAATAAATATGACTTCACTTGTGCATTCATTGGTGCTGGTTCATGTAATATTTAACAAAAGAATATTCCGTACTATATCTGATACGGTTATCTGGGTATACAGTCAATCTTGCTAAAACACAAGCTTGTTTAATTTATAATTTCTGAAATATTATAGTGCATTAGCATATCTACATAAAGTAGTTTTGAAAACATTGTACTTTTTAAGACTGCAGTCAATCTATGTAATTCATAAATCTGCTCTTTCATCACACTACATCACATCAGAATGAAGTACAAGTAAAAAAAAAAGTGATGCATTTAAGTGCATAAACTGAATGGATGGATTAATGTAAAAATGCATAGACAGATAATATTGTTTAGAAAAATGCTCATGATAAATTCCAAATACATAACTAGATTATATACTGACACAAAGGTGGATATTGAGATCCCATTATTAGCTTAAAGTATGGTGAACATACCAGTTCCATATGTCACTGGCCTTCCCTTTCTCTCAATTGATAATCCTTGCACATCTCATAATTTATAATTACTTAGACAGTATGCACACTATTACTGCAGAGAAGAGTGCAAAATACTAACCCATTAACTAGGAAACTACAATAGGTTTTGATTTGTATTTCATTTTGTAGAATTCTTCAAATATATAAACTGATGTTTCTCATATTTTTTTAAAACTAAGCCTGCATTATGGGGTGTAACATCCTGGGGTTTCTAACATGGAAACATTGCTACCCGCATGCTTTCTGGCAGCCTGTGCATAAATAATAGTTTCTATCAGGATCGTGTGAGGGAAGTGCCCCTCCTCTAAGCCATTAAAGAGTATGATGATTTCTGTTCTTTGGATATACTGTATATTTAACAGAACCTTCAAAAAGATAGTGCTCTTGAATAGAGCTTCCCCCCTGCAAGTGGTACAACTTAGGTATTTATATGTAATTCTTTTTTTTAACCTGATTTAAATTACATATATATATGTATATGAAATTATGGATGTATGCTTCCAATTTTAGATGTTTTGCATGTACTTTTCTTACCATCTGTAGCTTTTGACACTAGATTTAAGCCGTATAGTTTTTATTGCTAGTCTTTTACACTTATTGCTCAAATGCTTTGAGTAATATATTTACATAAAATGTTGTTGTTTGTCTTTTGAGACTATTTAAGTTGTATCTATATGTTGAAGATCATTCCTGAGCACTGGGAAACTGGTTCTCTTTAAATAAGGTGTTTTTTTGTTTGTAGCATGTGCTTATTTACACCTTTTATCAACACAAAATCATGTTTTGGTTACTGTTAATACGATTTTTCAACAGCCAACAAACAATAAACCAAGCAATCACACTACACGCCCAAACCCCCAACTGAGCATAGTGGTAGGGGTTACTTATCACACATTTATGTTTTGCTTTTGACTTGTATTTGAGAAGCATTATTGAAGGATATGTGTTTGCATTTTGATCGTGATCATGTGGAGCAGTGTTCATTAACAGCCAAGGAAGGTGCCATCTTAGTCTCTTTGGATTGACCAATGTTCCCACATCAGTACAAAACCAAGACTATCCAAAGTAAGGTTTAGCTCCCCAAAACTTTGTTTATAATAAAGGAATCTTTATATAATACCAGCCCAGACTACAATCTGACAGTTCTTTGCCAGTCCTTTAGCAATCTAAAGACTTAATAGTGTGAAATATCTAGCAACTATATTGAATGCTAGACATTTCACACTATTAAGACTTTAGATTGCCAAAAGACTAGACTGCTTTAGATTCCATAGGACACTGTGTTTTTATGGGCTGGTATTAAATAAAGATTCCTTTATTAGGAGCAAATATCCTGTTAATTTTCAATATATTGTCCTGCACACTAAACTAAGGCAAACATTCCTGCCAGTGTTATGATTCAGTATAGCTGAAGGGCCCATTTTCACTAGCCCATTCACTAAAGTGCTGGGTTTTAGTGGATGGGCTAGTGCATTGTGGCACTAGCTCCCAATGGAGCTGTTTACATTTCTTTTAACTTTATCAATCCTTGCACAACAATGCTGTGCTGCTGTGTTGCTGTGAAGCAATCAGTGGTGGCATCCTGTGTGCTGCAAAAAAATGCCACAAGCTGTGTTTTTCAACAGTGCACCACCCATCACACTGGCATTGTGGTGTGAACAGGGCACATAGAAAACAATTGTTTTCAATGTGCCACAGCGGTGACCTGCATTGATCTGTAAAATGCAGGTCACTACTCTGAACAGAGCCTAAGAGACAGAAATGTAGAAAAATTATAAAGACAAGTATGGGTAAGGCTAACACTGCATTTCAAACTAATTTTCATGTATTGTATCTCTGTAGACACACTTGTAATTTTAAAATAACTGAAGATATGAAATAAGTTTCCACATGATTTGTTTTTATGCCTTGTTATTTGACCGGAGATATTATCAGAAATATTTATGAAATATTATATCATAAACATTAATTTTCACATCCTGAGAATGAGCATTTACAGAAAGCCTCGCAAATTCAATTAGGAAATGAATAAATGGCACTACTGTACTGTCAACCACAAATACGCAAACAACAGCTGTAGAATGTCTCATACCTCAGATTCACAAATATCAACGTGGAAATACTTAAATTAAGCTTAAAAAAATGAAAGATGAGAACTAAACAGATGCACTCTATAAAGAGATTCACAACTTATGTGCGAATAACATTAGTTAGAATACTTTCTCACTTCATGTTTTAAATAGTTTATGTAGAAAGCATGCATTTGTATAAAGCAATGTGTATATCTGAGCATAAGGATAGTAAATCAATTACTGATAATTATCACTAAAAAAGCAACTAAAATACATCTGCCTTTGAACTTTCACCACCATGTTTTCATAGGCACAAACATATGCCATCAGAAGCTAAGATATTGCAAGATGGCATGCTTGTGTGCAAGATGGGGGTCGGAATTCCATATACTAATCTTTACCATGCACATCGCTGCATTATATTGTAACACTGGTGTACCATCCAAGCTTGGCATTGCTCCCTTGTGCATATCACAGTTCAGTGTATCAGATTACCTGGATTTAATTTTATTGAAATATAATCCATGTAATTTAATGCAGGTCTGTTTATTAAAACATCAATTGTGCAGTGGTGCAAGAAGCATGCTAATAGGGAGAGAGAGCAGAATGATAGAGAGAAGAGTTCATCAGTGTTCTGCTCCTTTTTGTACTTTGTTCAGTCATAATGTGGGAGTGGGGAAGAGACCAACAAGATTTTCTGCAGCACAGAAAAATCAGATCTTCTGTCCTATTAGAAAGGGCTGTGCTGTGTGGCAGAGCTTTGTAAATCTGAGAACTAGATGGACAGCAATAGAAATCCTTTAGCAGGTAACACAGCTGCAATAGGTAAAAAATCGGCACTCACAAGGGGATTGGTCCATCCAATACTTTATATGCAAAAAGGCATAAAAGCAGCAAACACACAAATGCTTACATGTTTCAGCCCCCAAAACTGGACCTTAGTTGTAGCCATGCAGCTCTCATATATGTATCTCATCTGGTGAATGTAGATGTTTGCTTGGAGTTCAGCTTTAATTGCTGACTACAATGATCCCCTGTATGTATTTTGGACTAAATTTATGCATGCATAAATGTTAGATGATATGTACCGCAAGCTACTACTAAGATGAATATGCGCTTTCAGAGATAGCTCACAGCTTTCCCCACATTAGATGTTTTCTTTAAGAGTAGTGTCTGCATAATCTGTTGTGTGCAAACATGCAAAACATGGTCATGGGATATGAACATGCATGTCCATGTGTTTATCACAGAAATACATGATCACTAGCAAATCATTTTCTAATGTGTGACTAATACTGTATGTTCTGTCTTTTGCCAGGTTAAGTTGAGTTTGTTGAATTCTAGTTTCATTTAGATTTAGATATGGACCTGTGTACATCTGTTTTAGTGTATCTTGTCAAGTTCTTCCCCTTTAAGTATTCCTTTTTAAAAAGGAAAATGTTCAACCTATGTTACTTGCCTAAATTTGTTACAGCTAGAACTAAAACAACTATAAAAATCTATATTATAAAATCGCTTTGAACGCGTCTTGGGCTTTAGTAAGACAATAAACTATTTTCTTTCATCAGCTAGTCAAGATTTGCCATTCATTTATCTTTTGAAGAAATAAATGGCAGCTCGGGAAAGATATATTCTCAGACTTCTAACAGGTATGTGTTCTGAGGACTGAAGTTAAATGAACTTGTCACACTAAAGTCAGCCTTATCCAAGACATGACAAAAAGCAAAGGAACCAATTAGTAAAGAAAAGATTTTTTGCAACAAGACCATTTTTCATTCTGTTTAATTGTGTTTTGCAAGTATCATCCTGTACACACTTAATGAACCTATCAATGGAACAAAAGAAGATAAAGACATTTTATTCCAAAATATTCAGTCTGGGTCATTGGCTGAGGATGGGAACTAAATAATGTGAACTGATAAAAAGCATTATGTTTAATAGGCATACTGATATTTACAGACATTTAGTATAAGAATACCATTAGGAGTAATGAGTAACCTGGTAAGGAGGATAAAAAGACAGCATTTCCAATTAGTTCAAATTCATTCATGTCTCATTTATATGGCCTAACTTGTAAAAATTCTCTATTCTGGAAAGTTTAAGCTATAGGATTGTGATCACACATTCACTTGGAGGTCAAGCTAGGGAAACAGCTACACATTGTCAGCAAGAAAGACTCATTAAACAGTCAGTGATATGGCTACAGGCACAAGGACTGTGTTTTGGTGAGCTGCTTTTTGATATGTTGTTTTAAATTTTTTGGACTCAAGGCAGCACCAGGGTTTGCTTGATTGTTTATTACAATATC